TGACTGGAGAGACTAACGCCTGTAGGTGGCAACCATTCCTCATCATGCTCGCGCGCGCACACGCACACACGCCCGCGCGCCGCCACGTCGTGCACGTGGGGGAGAATGCTATTGATCCCTTATAATTAACGAGCACGAGTTGATTGAATGGGCAGATGGACAAAAGTGGTTAAAAGTGCTCCCAGGATGATAAGCACACGTACACACACACACGCATACACACACGAGCACACACAAGCACGCACACACGCGCACACTTAGGCACACACACACACACATGCTCTTACTGATCCACACACATACACGTACACCCACTCTCACCTATACACTTTCTGATGCACACACACACGCGCGCTCTTTCCGATGCACACACACACCTACACGCACGCGCACGAGAGCAGACGCGCGCTCTCGTGTGTGGGGCTGCGAGGAGACTTTGATTTGCTCGCTATTTAAGTCATGGACTGCGGAGCACGGGGAAACCATTAAAAGAGCCGGTGGGCGAAAAAAGAAGAAGCCAAAGGAGAAGGAAAGGAGAAAAAATCCCCAAAAGCATCGCTGTCACTCGCGTCTGCCGCATCCAGACAGGCATCCGGACCCTGTCAAAAGCGGGATTATGCCTCAACAGCTTATATAATCGATAGAGGACCCCGCTTTGGAGAGGGAGACGAGTCGCCCGCGGAGTTGGACATGCACGTTTGGAGCCGCAGCAGGATGCGGTGATGTCTTCTCGCGTTTGACGTCTCTCGCCTTCTTTTCTCTTTTTTTATCCTCTTTTCGTGGACCCATTGACAAGCACGGATTCAGCTCCTAGTCCATACAAGAAGCGCTTTGACGCGTCTCCCTGGTTCTATCCACACAGTCTGGACCGGGCCTGGATGCTCACTTAGACACCGGGAGAGACAGGTTTTGCGTCCGTGCGTCTGTTTTTTGTTTTGTTTTTATTCTATTATTGTTTTAAACCGGATTGCTCGTGTTGCGTTTCTGTGCTTGTCTCCCCCCACCACCACCACCACACACCACACGAGCTATTTGGGCTAATTGTGTTCGGAGCATCGCTGACTGGTGGAGAGAGAGCGGAGAAAGAGACGGGGAGGGGGGGGAGGAGTGGGGGAGTCAAGCAAGCACTGCAGCAGCCTCGGAGCTCAGCACATGGGGATGATTTGGGTCTAACCGCAGAGCTATATAGCGACCGAACAGCGACTGCTTGTCCCCCTCCCCTCTCCCTCCCTCACACCCCTCCCCGAACGCACCGCACCAGTTGGACCTATATATTGGATGAACCGAAATGCGTAAGTAAACCTAACATTTCTATGCACTGCTTTGAGAGGCTGTGATTGCATTCGCGCACACACACACAAACACACGAATAAACACACATACACGCACAGGCATACAGACACACACACACACATACACACACACACAGATGGCAAGATTAGTTCTTTGTGTCTTTTTCTCTCCTTTTTTAAATTTGGCTTTTACGCGCAGGTGGTGGCGAATATAGACCAGCGGAGGTGAGAGCGCGCTGCATGCTTTTTTTTTTCTTTTCTTTTTTTAAAGGGGGTCTATAAAAAAAACTAGCCCTTAGAGCTTGGAGTGAAAGCCTGTTGCCAGTCACCCAGCGCTACGGAAAAGCCTACGTCATACGGTCATTCAAATTCCGCTCAGGTGCCGCGCCGCGTTTGCAGTAAGTGGAGAGGCAGGTGGGCAGGCCGGGGGTGGGGGGCGTGCGTGCGTGCATGCGTGGGAGAGAGAGGTGTAGGAAGGGGGGGTGTTATAGCTGGATATATAGGCCATAGGCTCATGGTTTGACAGTGTGTCCGTTTGGAGCAGGTTGCCTCCATGACCGTCTGCAGAAGAAGAAGAGAGAGAGAGAGAGAGAGAGAGAGAGACAGAGAGAGAGAGAGAGAGAGAGACAGAGAGAGAGAAAGAGCTGGTCTAGTCCTAAGCATGGGTTACATACCAAGTAGAGGCCTGGACTTAATTATGTCTACTTTGGATTGGCAGTTTTTGGTAGCATGGGGAGGATTTAGGAAGACGGTGTGTGAGCTCAAACCAATCAATTATCTGCTGTGACATGACGTGGCCATATTGTTCTATGAGCTGTAATCTCATACCCGTATATGTTCAGACATAGAAAGGCAAATTAAAGCAACGATGTGTAGCTTTCTGCATGATCCATGGACTGAAAAAGTCAAGAGAGTCTTTGAGAACTTTCTCCATGGTTAAAAATCGCAACCAAAAGGGAAAGCAGCCAAAAGTAAGAGTCAAAGAGTGCATTATGTGTATTTTTAAAGGTCCGGTGGCGCCTTGCTCTTTTTGAAGTGCTGCGATGCCTTCTTCTGGCGATAGTTATGATCTGTTTGGTTTAAAACATCTACATTCCTTAGTTATGGATGATTTTTTTGTGATTAAGCTCATTTCAGTGAAACGACTTGCTTCTCCAGTGATTAAACTTGTAACTTCGCCTGGTGATGTCACTTGAATGTTTTCAATGTAAAGAATAAAGTTATGTTTAATGACAGTGTTTGAATATTCAGGAAAAAGAACAACATTTAGACCAAAAAAATGTGTAGCCATACTTGCATGCGAAAGCATTGGTACTACAGTTGGGCAGCTGTAAAATGCGAAATTTTTGTGTCCTCAGGCAAGACACTTCACCCAAAATGAGGGGGTTGATGGCACAGACTGGTTGCCTCACTTCTGTCAGTGTGCCCCAGAGAGAAGACTGAGAGGAGAGAGAGGACAGAGAGGAGAGAGAGGACAGAGAGGAGAGAGAGGACAGAGGGGAGAGAGAGGAGAGAGAGGACAGAGAGGACAGAGAGGAGAGAGAGGACAGAGAGGAGAGAGAGGAGAGAGAGGAGAGAGAGGAGAGAGAGGACAGAGAGGAGAGAGAGGACTGAGAGGAGAGAGAGGACAGAGAGGAGAGAGAGGACAGAGAGGAGAGAGGACAGAGATGAGAGTGAGGAGAGAGAGGAGAGAGAGAGGACAGTGAGGAGAGAGAGGACAGAGAGGAGAGAGAGGACAGTGAGGAGGGAGAGAGGACAGTGAGGAGAGAGAGTTCAGAGAGGACAGAGAGGACATAGAGGAGAGAGGACAGAGAAGAGAGAGAGTACAGTGAGGAGAGAGGACAGAGATGAGAGTGAGGAGAGAGAGGAGAGAGAGAGGATAGTGAAGAGAGATAGGACAGAGAGGAGAGAGAGGACAGAGAGGACAGAGAGGAGAGAGAGGAGAGAGAGTACAGTGAGGAGAGAGGTTTTGGAGACAGAAGATAGATAGACAGAGATAGATAGATGGATACTTTAATGATCCACCTTAGGAGAAATTCAGGTGTCCAGTGGCAGCAAAAAAAATTGGGAGGGAGGAATTTAAACTGGATTATGTGGGTTATTGGGAGCCAGTGGATTTGGATTAGAACCGAAGTGATCTGTTGATTTTTTGTTTGGATGATGATCCTAGCAGCAGAGTTATGGAGAGCAGAGAAACAGAAAAGTGCATTGATTAAAGAAAGAGCTGTCCATGGGTATGATAATAAAGCGTTGTTTTTATATAGTGCATTTTTAACACTCAAAGACGCTTCACATATTCACGACATATGGGATAGGCAGCATGGCGGCGCAGCAAGAAGGTCCTGGGTTCGACTCAACCTTCAGGCCTTTCCGTGTGGAGTTTTCATGTTCTCCCCATGTGTCAGCGTATTTTTCCTCCAGGTGTGTTCGGCGTCTCGCTTCTGTCACATATGAAGAGAGAATTGGGAAGAAAAAGTATGTATTTCCTAATTTTGAAGCGCTTTGTATGACATTGGTCTGTGAAATGTGCTATAAAGATGACTTACTTACTTACGTACACACATAAGTAAGTAAGTCACACACACACACACACACACAAACACACACTCACACACACACACACACACACAAACACACACAGACGCCAGACCCAATCCAGCCACCCCACTGTGGCTCCTGTTGTTCACAGAGGTCTCCCATCACAGTACAAACCCGGCCCTACCCTGTTTAGATTCAAAGGTTGAATGGGATCTTACTTTTGCATACAATACACTAAAAATATTTATCAAAAGTATTTACGGTGATAAAATATTGTTTCCATGCCAGTTGTGGCTGTAAGTGGACATATCCAAAAAGTATGCAGGAGCTGTCCATGGTGCTGAAACAGACCTTGGGCAGCCTGTACTCTGCATTCCATCACAATTATTTGACAATGTGAAGTCATTTTACTCAACCCGATCAGCCATTTTTTCCATTGCATAACATTATAATACTCAGTGGGTGAAAAAACAAACAAACAAACGAAACATACATTGTCATACATTTGAGAATTGAGGTTAATTGTAAAAAAACAAAAACAATCAAATGTTGTTTCCATGCTAGTAGTGGCTGTAAATGGATGGTATAGCTGGGTGCACACTGGGGGATTTTTTCACGTGTATTCCAATTTGGTTTTTCTGTAAATGGCAAATAAACTGAAATAAATGCTCAATGAGATAAATCATGTTTTTTTTCTATAATTTTATAAACATAGCAAAAATGCAGGCTAAAGAGAACACATTTGCATTTATAGGATTCCATTATAAAGTAAGTGTACTCTTTTCCACCAAAGCACACAGGCTTCTGACACCCCTAGCTTACCTGTTTCCCTTTATTTGCTGAATGCATATGTGGCTTAATACAATGTAAAACACATGCACTGACCGGAAGAAGGAGCTCTTATTCTGCGGTATCTCCAGATTATAGCGGATTGCGTTTATGATGGTGTCTATGTAGTTCTCATTGATGAGACAGTTGAATGGAACCCACTGTTTGTTGGACCCTGAGCACAGGTCTCTGTACACATCCTCCGCCATATCCAGGATGTTCTCAGCATCAGGCCTCACCTTAATGTTCCATTGTGACATATTTTCCTCCAGCCGCTGCCACAACTTTACGAATAGGGCCAAATTGGTCAGACTTTTGGTCTGGAGGGCGTGCCTTGTTACTTCATAAGCCAAGGATCTGATGTGGTCTGTCTCCCACCACATTCTGCAGTTGTTGGGTGGGGAGGGGTATAGCGTGTGCCTGTATAGTGGGTCTGGGGGTCCGTGGACATACAGAGGACTTTTTGCAGTTTTTCTTTCTGCCAAATTTCCAGGCTCCAATAGAGTTTCTGGGGCTCATGTTGTGCACAACGACCTGTTGAAGCGCCTCATTCACATCCTTGTGTTGTCCATTGGAGATGTCCTGGGACAATTTCTGATGACATCCCTCTTGGATGTCATTAGGCATGGACACCAACTTCTCCAAATGACAGGCAGCCTCTTTCTCCATCTTTTCTATATCAGCGCTTACGTTACGCTTACATGATAATTTTATCAGTAATTTTCTGAAAGAGAGTTTTGCATAACACAGGGCCAGAAAAGATTCAACCCTATGAGCAACTCTGAAATAGCAACAGGTTATACTGACCTCATCAGAGTCCAGAGAGTTTCTGTGTCGGATTTCATCCATCTCGTCCAACATCATGGAGTAGATAGACACTGCATCCGCTTCACTCTTATAACTCAGTTTGCTTACAAGAACCTCAGCCTCATCTTTGCTCAGGCTGGAAGATCGGGCAACTGTTACTTCTGCTTCATCCAGGATCTCTTTCACCTGCTCAAGTGCAGATGCAATACTGGCCTGAGAAGCTGCTCTTGAAACTGGAGGGTATAGAGATTGAGGGGCTACATTGGAATCTTCCTCAGATGAACTCTGACAGCTCTCCTCAGAGTGCACTTGAAATGAGCAGCAGGTGTTTACAGAGAAACAGCTTTCAGTCACTCTCTTCCTTTTTTCTTGTTGTGCAGCAACCTTCATTGCTTTCTGCTGCTTGTTTTCAGACAATATCTCTTTGGTAATCTTCTCCTTGTCACTCAAAGACTCTGAAGGAGGACCAGAGCTCTTTTTTGGGGAGAAGTGCTTGTGTTCTCCCATTGATTGCACAAGGCAAGGGCGAAGGGCAAGGGGCTTGCTCTGGGTCTGCTCTGGGTCTCGCTCCTCCATCTGAAACAACTCCTTGGGTACAGTTTCCTGGACTAAAGGTGCAGTCTCTACACTCAAAGGCATTGAACAGGCTCCTGGAAGGTTTTGCCAAGTAATCTCAGGAGTATATGTACCACTAGAGCCGTGAGTGGCCTATATTGGTTGTCTCCTGCTCAGTTTCTGCAAGGAGACTCTCCACTTGTGTTTCTTGTGTCTCACTGGTTGCAGAGTCGGATTTGGTTTTGATCTCTGGAGCAAAACTCGATACCCCAGAGGCACCGTGCTGAGACAAGTTTGCAGTCTTCACAGATGTGGCCACTCCCAGCCCGTTCTGTCTGAGTTCATTTCTGATTTTGAGACGTTTGGCCCTCTCTTGTAGCTCTTTGTTCACTGGCTTCTCCTCACCTGAGATCTTTGTCCTGCATGGCCAACAGCATTGCATGAACTTCTGGGCATTAGTGACGATGCGGAGGAGCTTGTATCTGGACGGGGTGTAGTCTTGTTCTTTGTCTTCTGTCAGTTTGCTTCCAGGAGATCCCATGCACTCAGAGCTGAGTTTACAGTGTCGGTCACCTCAGCACTTATCTGCTCATGGACCTTTTCAAGTGCATAATACTCATCAGCAGAACTGGTCTTAAAGCTAGTTCGGAGGACAGCGCTCAGGGCGTCTTTCACGGCATCTTCTGAAAGCAAAGAATCACTTGGCAAAATCTGTTCCCGAGCAATGATTTCCCCCACACCGCTGAGGATTTTTTCAGAAAATTTGATGATAATATCCATGAACAGCTGTGACATGTGTGTGCGGACCTCATGCTCGCTGAAGCCTGCGGTCTGCACAGTCCCCCAGGAGTTTTATTTTCCTGAGAATTTAAACATCACATAAGACTATGAGTGACACCATATGATGAGATATGATTTTCTGTGTGTTATTCATTCTAATTATTTATTCTGTTAACAGGAACACTGATTAATAAAACTATTGTGAATACAGACATAGCTTGTTTTCCTCCGTATTTTCTGGAGCAGACGTCACAACACGTTTATAGTTTACAAAGAATTAATCACAAATAATTAACCAGGAAAATTATTATTAGCATTTCAAATAAAGATAAAATACAACACAATTAACCACAAAAAGACACAATACTTACAACAAGTTGTTACAATCACACTTTCGTTGCCAGAATCTTCTGCTTGCGACACATGATGGGGTTAAGATTAACATTTAAGAAAACCTGCTTCATTCTTTACTGTTGAGTTATGAACTCAACTGTTATGATAAAATACAGGCATGTGTTTAATCTACCACAGACGTGTCTTTGTAGCTTTGTTATGTGCCGTGATTAAACTTAAGTTTGTCCCGAAAAGCTAAGCTAATGCTAGGCTATTCAGTCAATTGAGATTGTGTTTGATCAAGAAAAATCATTATTACTTATATCTTTAGGGAGAAACAACCGCACAGATTAAAATATTCAAGCTACGCAGAGGAAACAAACGGATAGACTTGGCCCATTCTATCATTTTGTATATGTCTAATCTATACAGTCAATGTAAATAAATATACATTCTTCCCAATCTTAGTATGGGAATATACATTATAAATACAATCTCTATTATATCAATACATAAACAGGTGTTAGCACTATGGTTAGCATGCTATAGCTGCTGTCTCCATGAAAAAGTTTGTTTCCTCTGCGTAGCTTGAATATTTAATCTGTGGGGTTGTTTCTCCCTAAAGATAAAAATAATTTGATTTTTTTTTATCAAACATGATCTCAATTGAGGGATCCGACGGTCACGTGACTAGTAGCCACGGCGGCCAAACTGCAGGACAACCTATGCTAGTAATAGCCATGCTAGCCACTTAACCGGTCGTTAAAAACTAGAACTCTCTCGAACTACATGAAAACTGAACAAAGAAGTCGAAAAATCCGCAGTTACTGACCCAGATATAAACTCAACTTTGATCCACGGATCAGATCCTCTGCAAATGCGTCCTAAAATGTATTATTAATGTTAATGGTTACTTACGGGTTTACCACGGTCGCATTTTGTTGCATTAAAACAGTATTTTTGTCATGAAAACGTAAACAGATAATTCTGAAAACTTCTGTGCACGTGTGTTAAGAATGTATATGTATAATGTATTCTCTGACTAACATTTAAACGTGTTAATGTGTTGTTATTTGTGTTTATTGTTACACCATTGATCTATGTGTGGCTACACTTGCGTGGAAATAATAGAATTACATTCAAATCAATGGCGCTTTCTGCGTGTACTGTGAGGAGCTGTATATTTCATCAATAAATACTAGTACGGGGCACGTTGCCTCAAGCCCGGCTCAGTCGTTCACACGTCTGCTGGCCTTCTCCAGGCATGGCAGGTCAGATACCCTGTGAGCTGAGTGAGGCCCTGTGAGCTGAGTGAGGCCCTGTGAGCTGGGTGAGGCCCTGTGAGCTGAGTGAGGCCCTGTGAGCTGGGTGAGGCCCTGTGAGCTGAGTGAGGCCCTGTGAGCTGAGTGAGGCCCTGTGAGCTGGGTGAGGCCCTGTGAGCTGAGTGAGGCCCTGTGAGCTGGGTGAGGCCCTGTGAGCTGAGTGAGGCCCTGTGAGCTGAGTGAGGCCCTGTGAGCTGAGTGAGGCCCTGTGAGCTGAGTGAGGCCCTGTGAGCTGAGTGAGGCCCTGTGAGCTGGGTGAGGTGCGGTGCGAGAGCAACCGCACGTTGCAGTCAGACAGCGATAGATATTATCCTTTAAGGTATAACAGCATGACAGATGAGTTGTAAAGCTACCAGCAGAAATAATTGACTTTCTTGTATTATGGAGAAAAAGGTGTTTACATTCTGTAGTGATTTACTTTGTTACAGTAAAGACAGTGGCATTCACAGCTCTAAAGAAGACATATTGCTGTTCTGTCCGCTGTAGTGATAATCTATGACACCCGCAGATCATTATTCCCTATTTTGAACATTTGAAATCTCACTCTGGTCCAAAACGATGCAATAAAAGAGATGACTTTGTATCATTCTGTCTTCAAGAAGCCTCAATACACTTTGAGGTCTTGAAGACAGGTCAAATGCAGGGAATAAAGTATACATTACTGACCTTACGTCGACTATATTCATACATTCATATTGGTGTGTCTCTGATGTGTGCTTCATGAGTTTTCATTATCAACTATTTCAGAAGGCACCTGTATATAAACCAGACGTCAACACGTCATCCCAGTCCTTTTTTTGCTACATTTCCTCCTGTTTTATTTTGTGTTAATTCAAATATGTTACTCTTTCTTTTTAAAGCCCTCACTGGTCTTGGCTTCTGTACTTGTCTGAGCTCTTGACTGTTCGTGACTCGGGCAGATCCATGAGTTCCTCAGCTCAGCTCCTCCTGAAAGAACCCAGGACCAAGGTCCAAACCATAGACTGTCAAATTAACGGACGTAGTCACGCCTATCTCCGCCGTTCTAACTAATGGGCCAAATATAGTGTTCTGCTGGAGCTATCCAAAATGGCCGTGAGTGGTCCCGCCCACAAGAAAATTGTGAAAAAACGCATCTGCGCATGCGTCAGCCGGCGCAGCTCCATTCATTTGAACGAGAGACTTCAAAAATTCACAACAAGTAAACTAGAGTGGTCCAAAAAAAATCACCCCCTCAGCATTGACACACATGTGGAACGGAACTTTGGGCCAAGAGCCAACTTTTGGACCATCCTGTAAAGGCGTTTTCCAGAGGTCTTTTACCGGGTCCACCCCCATCGGCCCGGGGTGGTATAGCATGTCAGCGCACATCATTTTGGCCACTTTTGAGCCGGGACCCGCCCCCACTGATCCAAACACTGGGGTCGGTCCTTCTCAGTCCTGGACCCAAACTCTGGAACAAGCTGCCCCCTGATATGCCTGTCCCCACTGACTTTGGACTTTTTAAATCAAGGCTCAAAACTCATTTATTCAGACTTGCATTTACCACTTTTCATTCATTAGCACGATGGCTCTTTTTTAATGCAAGACATGTGAAGTGTCTTTGAGTGTGCTGAAAAGCGCTATATAAATGATTTATTGTTATTATTATTATTAACATTATTATAGCAGGAATGAAGAGCACACAGCACAAGATAAGTGAACATCTACTCTATACTACAAAAAATCTCTCTAGCATTATAAAGAACCAATAATTAAGTATAATGTCTCTCACTTTAGCATACTGTATTTTCTAGTGCATTATAGACTGATGCTTTGTCCTTTTTTCCTGGCACATGAGAAAGCACACAGACATTCCTGTGCTGCCGTCGGTGGACACGCGGGTTCGGGGAGTTTGTTAATGTCAGACAGGTGTTCTGCTCCTCCTCCTCCTCAGCTCGAAGCCATTAGCACTGCAGCGGCGCGCTAACTGCTGTGTGCTAAACCTGCCTGTGCTAATAGATTTTACCACTGAGCGTGTGCAGAATGTGGTTCAACTCCTGTGACCCTGAAGAGTCAGCAAGGAGCAGGCTTTTAGCGCGAGGTGTTCTCCCGCCGCGAACGTGGACGAGGACGGGGGGAGAGAAATTGCACGTTAGATGAGCGGAGGAGACCAAAATTACACTTTTCAATGAGTAGAAGTGGGAGCGATTGAGCTAATGAATTAATTAAGAGAGGAAAAAAAGCGAATTGGGGAAATTACAGCTCAAGTAAGAGTGTCAACAAGACTAAAAAGTACAAGTTAATTATATGAAATTGGTGTAAAGTGGTGCAAGAGACTCAAATGATCAAATAATTTCATATGAGACAAGAAAGGGAGGGGACCCTGGGGAAGACCCAGGACACGCTGGAGGGGGTCTGTCTCTCAACTGTCCTAAAAACGCCTTGGGGTCTCCCCGGACGAGCTGGAGGAAGTGTGTTTGGTTAGGGAAGGCCATAACCCACGTCCTGGGCGGCAGAGTGGCACAGCAAGAAGGGCCTGGGTTCAATTCCACCTCCAGGCCTTTCTGAGTGGAGTTTGTATGTTCTCCCTGTGTCTGCATAGGCTTCTTTCAGGTGCTCCTGTTTCCCCTACCACAAAAAATGTGTACAGTGGGTCTGAATGTAATGAGTGAGTGGATGGTGTTGTTGGAGGCATTGATGCTCGAGTGTGTTCGGCGTCTCGCTTCCGTTGCCTCGTGGAAGTTTTACTCAGTTTTACGTTGGATTTACTCATATATCAAGATATAGTTGTCAATGTGTACAGTATATCTCCCAAAATGATTGAGAACAGATTGGCTGTGGGAGAGTGGTCCTCCCTTTTTCATGTTTCTGTCTGAAAAAAAGCAGATCTATGGCTGTGACAGGAGCCAGGGATACATACACGTGAAAGCGAGTGATAGAACCTGTTTTTGCAGTTTGAAAGTTACAAACCCAGCTTCTTCCGTATTTCTATAAAGGCTGGGTAGCTGAGTGGTTAGCACTCCTGCTTCTCAAGAACAAGGTTTAGTTTCTGAGTAGAGTTCTCCTCGTTTTTATGTAGGTTTCCTCCAGGTGCTCTAGTTTCCCTTATTACTTACCCCCTTTTAAGCTCATTCCCCTTTGGACC